TGAATTCCCCATCATCCAAATGGTCCATTGGGGTTAATTAAGCAGAGAAGAATAATGCACATGAGGGCCACTCATTTTACTATTGTGAGCAAGATATGCCAGGTTGCCAGTTGAGATGGGGTTGTGAGCTGAGAGTCCACAGGGACAGTGACTCCTGCAGCTGTGAGCTCTCACTGTGGTCTACCAGAGAGGACAGCAGAGGGAGGCTACCTGGAAAAGGAGTGTGCGTGTGGGTCTGGCTAAGAGGATGAGTAAATGCACGCCAGCTGTCCTTGATCTTGTGGCTAAGAACCATCTCTGGTGTCCTCAGGACTGTTAAGTGCCACTGGCAAAATCCACAACAAATATCCTACAAAATATGAGTAAGATATGATGTGCCATTTTCAAAGTCTCGAGATTTAAGTTAAGAATGCACTGTTAAATTAGACCAAAACACAGGTAGTATTTATCTCTGAAACACACTGAGCTCAGGGATATTTGTATTCTAATTCTAATTGGGAAAAATTTTAAACTTAAATGTAAGTCTCAAAGTCTTCTTGCCAACTGGCGCAGGATTAAAAAATTGGCATAGTGTTTGCTGACTTTAGGTCAACTTTGCTTGGCAGGCCCTATCAGAGAATTTATCAACTGCATCCAAATCTGTTTCAATTTTTATCAACTGCATCCAAATCTGTTTCAATTTCCATTTTTAACACTAATGGTTCTAATTGGATCGGTTCACAAAAAGAAGATTACAAAGCTATTTAGCAATTTCTTAGCAAATTGTCTTCAGCCCGTATATTTGTTACAATATTAAAAGGGTAGTAAACTGGCCTAACAAATCAAAAGTCTTTAAAACCTGATTTTTAAAAATATGACAGTTTACTTTTACCCTAAGTTGGGCTTGTAAATATCACAAGGTTGTAAAACTATGATTTTTCAGGTGCCTTCAGTGTGCAGAGTGATTTGCTATGCTCCACAGGGCCCTCAGAAGAGCCGTACTCCATTGAAGAGAAGCCCCAGTACCCCCAGATAAGAGGGATCAAGGAAAGGCTAGGGAGGTCTGCAGTCTGGGGATGGAGGAAACTAGTAAGATGCCGTGGTCTTGCTGGGCACAATTCAGGAGCCACTTGTCAAGCAGAAAGGATTTTATTTTTAGAACACACTCACCACAGGAGCTCTTCAGGAATTCCCTCAGAGCCCAACTGCCACCACTGGCATCCGGGGAGCCTCTCAACCCCCACTCCTCCTGCTCTTGAGGCCAATTGGCTGGGTCGTGGGCGGAACCAAGAGTCCCCCAATGAGCAGCTCCGTGGTCTGAAAGGGCGGGGAAACAGCCCAGTGAGCATCACTGCAGAGGAGCCAATCAGCTGGAAGTTTGCTGGGGCCCCATCAGCTGTGGCTCTCAACATCATGACTGAGTGCTGAACCCATTCCTTTGGTCCTTGTGACCCTAGGCTGCCTTTAAATTCCCCCTTCATATTGATGTGGTTCCCTTTACCTGCTTCCTAGGTTGTGCTAGAAAATAGAGGTGGGTGGAGGTTGCCTTCAGTCTGTCCCCACAGTGCCCTGATGTCTGGTGCTGACTATCCACAGTGACATATTCAAGAAGTAGGGATGGAGGGAAGCTGCTGAGAAAGTAATCTCTGCCCATAGAAACCAGCCCCACATGCTGCTGAAGCCTTGTGACCATCCTGTTTGTGTGATTATTATTGCTCCGGCATATCAAATCCTCTCACGGAGGCCTCTCTGCTTCTTGTTTTGTGGCTTCCTTCCATAAAGTTGGGTCAAGATCCCAAATGCCAGGCCTTTCCCAGGTGGTGAAGCTGCTGGACTCTATTTTTACACAAAGGATCTGATCTTTGCCATCAGTGGTTCTGCTGCTAGTCAGGGTTTTAAGGTTTTAACGTGGCTCATTTTCATACCTACCCCTCAGGGTGCTCATGGAGTGTGGCACCCTGTCCACAGCTGTGGAGTCGGGAGCTAGGGCTTCCTACCCTGCCCTCTGCTGCACGACTTTGGGAAGCTTGTTGAATTGCACCTGAGACCTGAGACTGTGAGGGTGTTAAGGTCCTCTTCAGAATGGGCCTTCTGGACCCTCTCAGGGAGGATCTGGCCTATTTTTTATTTTTTTCTTCTTTTGTCTCATGGATTTGGGTGTCTCATGGATTTGGGTTGGTGACCTTAACCCCCTGGGTCCTGTGCACAGGATGAGTGCTAGTCTCGGAGCCCAGGTTCCCTGGCAGGCGGGCTTCAGCAGGGCCCTGGCAGACCCTGCAGCCTCTGGCAGTAGGCCCTCGGGAGGGTGCAGCCACCCTGGGAGTGCCTAAGGGGCTTCAGGAAGACTGGAGCAGGAGAAGCCTGCAGGCCACCACTCCCTACCCATTGCTGACCTCTGCTGGGACCAGCAGAGGGAAAATGTCCCAGCAGAAGTTAGCAACGGGTAGGGAGGAGGAAGCCACCCCCAGGCTGATGGTGGGCCCAGTAGCCACAGTGTCAGTGTCCAAGAGTCTCCTGAAACAGGAGGGTTCCTGCCCTTCCTGCTCCAGAGCGGAAGGTCCTCCCCTAGGCCGTGGACCCTAGGATGGTCTGATGGAGAGTCGCTTCTCAGCTCCAGTTACCTTGATAAAGAAGTCCACTGCACTCTGATAGCCTCCTCAGTTAGTTCCTCGCTCTGAAGGCCTGTGACAAATCCCAGAGGCTGAGTTTCCTCAGACCAAAAAACTGACTCAAGGATTTTACTAAAGCTTTAAACAGAATTACTGTGGTCAAACTCAGATCTAACTAAGACCATTGTCTTTCCCTTGTCTGTCCTTTCCTCCTCCCTCCTTCCCTCCCTCCCTCCTTCC